AGGATATAGAAACAAGGAGACATTTGAAGTGGAGGAAATACATGTCCAATTATGTTAGTGGTAATTGGGATGAGTCTTCTACTTTATCTATTTAATAAAGGATATGTTTCTGGTGTATGGTTTTTTTACCAGAATTTGTCAGTCAAGTAATAGATATTTTTACATTACTAAATAAAAACGTCACATAGTTTTACATTAAAGCAAAGCATCTTGAGTTATGTCAGATATGTTAGATGCTTAATGTCTTAAATTTTACGTTAATTTGGGTTAAGTTAATTCCCCGTCATCACCAAACAAAATTATAAAAATCTGACAAATAAATTTTGAAATATATGCAAGTTATAACAATTAATATTCAAATGTAGGCATTCTATTGCCATCTGGTGAGTCTTTTCCGTCACTAAAGCATTTAATTTTCCCTTTCTAATTGCAATGTTTCGGGTTTAATAGCAAGGTAAGGAACAGCTTATAAAATTTCGGTCTTGATACATTTTGGCCTTTTCCTCTACAACCAAAATAATTTAAAATTTCAATAAACGAATTTTGAATGATATGCATGTTATGATGACCGTAACTTTTACTAAAAGATATTGAAGAATATTAGGTTCAAATAAAGGGCATGGACAACACTTATAAACAATTTGATTTAACACATTTTGTTCCGGCCCTCATTAAACAAAATTATCAAAATCTGACAAATAAATCTTGATAAATACGCTAGATATAACACCTGCAATTTTTACACTGAAAAATTTTAGGTTCAAAAGCGGTAAAGAGAACCCTTATAAAAAATCTGACTTCACACTTTTTGTCCCCGTCCTCATCAAACAAAATTATCAAAATCTGAGAAATAAATTTTGAGTAATAGGCTAGTTATATCACATGTGATTTTGACTACCAGAAAATCCAAAGATTTAGTTTCAAAAGGGAGGTTAAAGAGAACCCTTATAAAAAATCTGACTTTACACATCTTATCCCTGTCCTCATCAAACAATATTATCAAAATCTGACAAATAAATACTGATTAATATGCTAGTTATAACACCTGCAATTTTTACTAGGAGGTATTGCAATGTTTTATGTACAAAACGGAGGCTGGAGAGCGAATTACAAAAATCTAGCATTACGCATTTGATCCTTCTGTCTTCTATAAAGAAATTTATAAGAATATGACGAAATTTTGAAAAATTAATTACAATAGCTTTAATGTTTAAGTGTAGGATGTATGTTGCCATCTGGCGGGTACCTTTCATCACTAAAGTATTTAATTTTCACTATCTAATTGCAATCTTTTTTCCTCATTTTTAAAAACAACGGTAGAGAGCACCCTTACAGAAATTCTGTCGACACATTTTGGTCCTTTTTTCTAAATTTTGAATATCAAGCAATAAAAACTACGTTTTCAAGCTGGGGGCTGAATGTGCATCCCAGTTATTTCCAACTGTAAAATTCTTCTCACTGATGCATCACAACAACTTTTATTTGTTTATATAATGCAGTCAATAGTCAACAACCCAAAAGACAGAGAAAACTCCGTAGACGAATAGTTGAAAGTAGTAAACGAATAAGAAAGAAATTAAGAAAAATATTAAACAAAATCCTACCTTTCACTAAAAGTTTAGAGTGCAGCCCAAAGTATTTTTACGACAGTGACTTGTAAGGAATTCTTCTTCTTTATTGGTAAATTATTTGGAATTCTGAAACAAAAAAAACATTGTTTACCTTTTCTCTAAAATAAATAAAATTAAACAATCTAATTTACGACCACATAAGTATAATACACGATACTTCAAGGACTTGTACTTTTTCGACATGGACGTAGCCAGGTTTTTATTTCGCATGAGCTAAGGGAAAGTGATATCGGTACAGATTTTTGAGTTTATTAGAGAGATATTACTATATTACACTCCTAAGTCAGAAAAAATAAAGGATATAGAAACAAGGAGACATTTGAAGTGGAGGAAATACATGTCCAATTATGTTAGTGGTAATTGGGATGAGTCTTCTACTTTATCTATTTAATAAAGGATATGTTTCTGGTGTATGGTTTTTTTACCAGAATTTGTCAGTCAAGTAATAGATATTTTTACATTACTAAATAAAAACGTCACATAGTTTTACATTAAAGCAAAGCATCTTGAGTTATGTCAGATATGTTAGATGCTTAATGTCTTAAATTTTACGTTAATTTGGGTTAAGTTAATATAATATTTAGTGTAGACTAGTAAATTAGTGAAAACTTTCGATCCACGGGTCTTGGCTCACCCGTACCTACTGATGAAAATTTATTCAAAATATATAACTTAAAATTTAATTCAGACAAACTGTAATGAATTTTTTATTAATGAAATGCATGCTCCAATGTTAAATGGCTAGTTGGGTCTTTATTCTTTATATTAATACATAATTGTAATTTTGTTTTTAAGATGTAGCAACATGGATTTCTTTGATCATCAATATTTTAGTCGGAGATATGTGAAATACTTATTGTTGCGATGTATGTACATATTTATAATATAAATTGCAAAATACAAAACGACGGTCTACGGTGTTTAAATCATCTCATTAATTTAATAGTAAGTCTACGATGTTCTTTTATTAATTAATAGTTAATTGTATATACACGTAACAAATTTACAATCGTCGGTTGTTGGTCTAATTGAATTTTCCTAAATAAATGTACTCATTGTATTGAGTTTTTGTACAATTTTGTTCGAATGGAAGTAAAATCAAACTTGGCATTCTCGTTCATGATGGTTGTAGACGACTAATCTTTTAAGATAGCCCTTTAATACCGAAAATAAGACATTCATGTAGATATACAGACGATATGATTAGGGGCGGACTAACCGTAAGGGAGTTTGGTCCCCCCCACTCCGATAGAGGGCTCCTGCAAGCCTAAACATAAGCTTTTTAACCTAATAACCCCGGAAATTATAATTTTCAACGCATGGCAGAGAAAGCAAACAAAGTGGGTTCGTGAAGCCATTACACGTATGTCGTCCCTAAAAAATACATTAAAGCCAGGAAAACATTACGTTTTATCTCAGTTACATGGACCCCGACCTTATATTTTTTGCGTAAGTCTTCGTGAGTTTTTTAACGTCTTTACCCGGTAAAAGTTGAATTCATTTGCTTACGTTTTTTAAAAGAAATCGACTATCAATAAAGGGTTTAGAAAATAATTTATTGGGGTATTTCTGCTACAGGAATATATAATATTTATAAAATATGGGAGTGTAAAGCGCTTATATTACATTTACATATAAATAAAAATTCAGTACGCTCTGCTATTTGTCAGTACCTTTGTCGTAAGAATTTTCGACTACAGTTAATGCAATAATCTAAGGATATAAAATATAAATATTTGGAAGCTTTTATTTTTTATCTCCATCGTTATCCTTAATATACAAGTAAATTTTTAAAAACTTTACTTCTTCATGATAAACTTTTAATTTATATCATTACCTGTAATATTTTCCAAAATATGTTTCTCTGATACCATTAGCACGAATTCTTTTAGCTTTTCTTGACTCGTAGAAGTTCTTAAACGGTTCTTTATAAGTTTTAAAAGACTAAAAGACTGTTCGCAGGCTACTTGCGTTATAGATAGGGTTAATGTGTATTTATATGCAGCATATAATGCTTGATATATCCCTGCTAATAAATTGTATCTATGTAAAACGAGAAAATGGCATAATACCACCAACAAAGGGTCGTTCTATTTAGTTAATACTTAAACAAAAAATCAGCGTCCAGCTTTTTGACTCCTAGAATTCCCGGACCTTGGTTATGATCGATTATTAATTTATTACAAAATTTTATTGAAAATTATAGTGAAGAAACTGTACCAACTTAAAACAAAGGTCCTAATTCCGGTTTCATTGAAGTCGATTGTTGAATTTTCATCTTTGAATTATGCTTTTTTCCAAGTCGACGCCGTTTAAAGTAAATAACTTTGTATCGTTTTTGATATAAGTTATAATTTTCTATGAAATAATTATTTTGTATTTTCACTGTTTTTTGTTCCCTTCCCAGAAAGCTGCCCAAGAATGGAAACAATTAAACAAGAGATCGACATGGAATATCCCAGATTTCGGTCTTATTTCTGAAACTCGTTTTTACTAAAACCGAAATATAAATATAAATTCAAATCATCCAATTTTCGGGAAGGATCAAACTTGACATTCGTGAATTATAATTGACAAAGGTAATGCAATTTTACGCATATAAATTTCGAAATCTTTAACTAACTCAACCTGCCCAGGCTTAATTGTGGCTACGGTTCTAGAACTACCCCCCTTTATACCCTTTATAAAAAAAAAAAAAGAAAATGTAACAATTTTATTAAAAAACATAAGTACATAAATTTTAGTACTACTGTAATTCATACATCACAACATAATTTAAATACTTAATTTAATTTGTAGGCTCCCTACGGCGTTTTACCGATCAAAGGGTAACGCAATCTTGCAAAAATTTCATTTCGGCCTGTCGTCGTTCTATTATTTTGTTGTCGTTTGTTTTTTTCGCAAGATCGCAAATAAATTCTTTTGTCGAGTGAGATCCATTTCTAATCGAACCTTCGATGGTAACGCTAATGAACCAGCCTGTTTTTATTTTCTCTCTCATGCATTCGTATGTTAGATAATTCACTGATTGTACAGTGTTATCGATCCATGATTGGGCGTATTGTTCTTTAAATATACTGGCTTTACTTTTATTTTTCTAAAATAAAAAGAAAAAAAATAAGGAATCTCATTTGACTGTATCACCTGACATGATGCCAGGGAAATGGGGGGAAGCTAGAAGGGCTGAAGGTCCCCCTCTCCACTTGACACCATTTGATTAAAAAAATCCGATTTTTAGAAAGCCACTTCGTTAAGAAGATATATACAGGACGATAAGTATTTCTCGACTGTAATAATGTTCTATTACATCATGCAATTAATCGATTTCACAATTCTTCCACATTTTTCAACAGGCTATTGTAAACTCACATTCTCGGATGGCCCCCCAATGATAATAATCCAGAGGGTTTGAAAGTCTAGGAATCGAGCAAGCCCTAAATGAGATCCCCATATTATGTTGCTGTTAAAATGTCATCTAATTGCACTAAAATAGTGTATCGTTATACATAAACCATATTGTATTTATCTTCATTCTTGATAACAAAAATTATTAAACATTAAAACATATTTTTGTCGATAAATCCAGTGTAGTACCCTCATCATCATTATCATAAAGTCGTCAATCCTAAGACTGGTTGGACACGTACCTCCACTCTTTCCTATCCTGAGCTAATCTTCGCATTTCCCTAAAACTAGAACAACCCACATCCTTAACTATTTGCGAACAGTAATCTAATCTAGGTCTACCTCTACCCCTCCTAACTCCTGTTTCTGCCTCTAATATGTCTCTGACTAGACCTTCATGCCTGAGAAGGTGTCCTACCAACCTATCTCGCCTATTTTTTATTGACTTCCATAGAGTCCTCTGTTCTCCTATTCTTTCCAATACCTCTTCATTTCTAACCTTTTCTACCCACGATATCCTCATCATCCGCCTATAACACCACATTTCGAACGCTTCTAACCTTTTCTTTTCCGCCGCTCCCACTGTCCATGTTTCGCACCCGTACAACGCCGTGCTCCAAACATACACCTTTAACAACCTTTTTCGAATTTCTAAATTAACCGTTCGCGAGCATAGAAGTGACTTCTTTTTATTAAAGGCGACACGACCCTGCGCTATCCTCTGCTTTATATCCCTACTACTCCTTCCGTCCTGACTTATCTGACTTCCTAGATACCTAAAATCGGCCACTTCTTCTAATTTTTCGTCTCCTATCTTTATATTCGCTCTTTCGCTACTTTTTCTTCCCTTGCATACTAGTATTTTAGTTTTACTTTTATTTATTTTCATAGGTTCATTTTCTGATATATTAATAATTTTAAAAATATCAAAATTAGGTTTGTCAAAAACCATTTATCAATCTTGCATCATGAAAACAAAGCGGTTTTCAAAAAATTATCAAAGTTAAAATATTCTTGATATAACCCAGGAAATAAAGTCTTGTATGTTTAATAAACACCCTGTTCCACCCTTTTTTACAAAAACCGAAATATAAATATAGATTCAAATTTAAATTTTCAGGAAGGATCAAACTTGACATACGTTAAAAATCGTTGTGGATGATTAATCCTTTTGTTAATACAAAGGCAATGCAACTCAGAAATTACGCATATAAATTTCAAAATCCTTAACTAACTCAGCCTGCCCTGGCGTAACTGTGGCTACGACTCTGGAACCACCCCCCTTTATACCTTTTATAAAAAATGCAACGATTTTATTAAAAAACAAGTACATATACTTTAGGTACTACTGTAATTCTTACATCACAACATCATTTAATTTGGCCCTGGTCTTGTTCAAAAACTTCAAATTTTCGCCCTGGCTTTGCATTTTCACAAAACGAAAACTGCAAGACCAAAACCAATTTTGCACATCACTACTCATTTTAAATGCCACAAATGTAATTATTAAACTGCTTTTAAATGTTTTTGACTTGAAGCCTTGTTTGATTTTTTACTATTCAGCCTTCACCCACCTCCCACCCCCTAAAATTTGTGGCTACGGGTCTGGGTTTCAAATCTTTTCAAAATCTTTTAAGAAAAAAAAAACTGTATATATTTTGAATCTTTGATGAAACTTTGACTTACCACACCCTTAACGTGTCCTTTTTCGCCAACCATGGTCAAATACAGTCCCGATTTTATACCATAAATGTAAACTAGACTTAGATCATCTTTATCGGCTCTTATTTTCACAAGAAGAGCTAAAACAGTTTACTTTTAACATATATGTCAGTAGCGTCTCATAATGAATAACGGAAAAGCTTACTGTGCTCGTCGAATTTATTAGGACAACCCCGAACGTTCTCTGAAGAAAATATCGCCAAATAGTAATTTTCAACGCACAGTCTTACTTTTCGTTCCTTCTCTACATCCCTAAAATCAAATGCGTTGCATATATATATATATAGCATGTATACTTAGAGTAAATGATCTAAACCGTTCTTTAAAAGTACTTAGGGAGCAAAAAAAAATGTTGGTATATTATTCTTCAAGGTAAAGGAATCAACATACTAAAGGTATTTTAGAAACTGGTTCCGGAAGTGCGCCATTATATCATTTGGTTATTTTAAACGGACTATTTTTAAAAGTAGCTTTTTCAAGTTACAACTAATTCAATGCAATAATTATATAATTAGTAAAAAAATCAATGACCGGAAGAATTAATATAATCTCAAGTCAACTTCAGATTTTTTCTAAATTTTAAAACGTTTTTAAATTCCAATTATCGTAATTTCTTCACAGTCTTCATAGTCGCAAAATTACTTTTTTTGATACTCAAATACCTAGGTGTTATCGTATTAAAAGGGTACATTTTGGGGTTTCTATAACCTGCCCATTTAAATGTATATAAGCAACTGCAAAATTTCAGGGAGTTTCAAAGTTAAAGAAGTCGTAGCATCTCTACTTTCACTTAAACAGAGTTGGAAATTCTTCTTTTCTGGTAGAGAAAATATGGAATTTTCTGTCACTGATTATTTCATTTTCACTTTGAATTAATTATTATACATTGAAAAATAATTACTTTAGGGCTGCATTAATTACTCTTATAAAAGTTATTAAATGTAATAAAGTATTTAGAAATGTAAATAACTTTTCCATTTAATATAAACAGGGCGGCCTTAGTCATTGGAAGGTTCCGGCACCCTTA